AGATATATATGTGGAGCTCTCTGGTACCACACTACCTAAGGCATTTGACTGCTAACCAGAGGGGTGGTAGTTCAAACCCACCAGCCACTCAACAGAAGAAAAATGGGGCAATCCACTTGCATAAAGATCTACTGCCTTGGCAACTCAGTGGGAGTCGCTATAAGTTGGAGTCAACTCAATAGCAGTGGCTTTGGCTTGGTTTTGGATGTATATAGTATATGATGCATAACTTTATATCTAATGACGCTTCTACATCATTAGATATAAATAAATAAATCTATTAAGAAACATCAGAATGCATACAAATTATATAAAATAATGGCTTCTTTATTTAAATTATGGAACTTCTATTAGATATAACTCTCTGAGCATTTAGGTGTCACTGATGACTTTAATTATCAAATGAATGTTGTTAAAATCAAATCTAGTGCCATATGTTTCTTTGGGAGAAATAGTACAAATAAATACTCTAATTCAAATTATGGAACCATGTCAGCATGGCAAAGCATGACATTTCAAAGATTTAAGAATATGCTCTTTTATTTGTAATACATATTTATGCCAAACTTGCCTTATGAAGATTATTTAATAAGAGTGTTTCATTTTATATTAAACAAGATATGTTGTTGTTGTTGTTATGTGCCGTCGAGTCAGACCCGACTCATAGTGACCCCTCCTTGGGTTTCCGAGGCAGTATCACTACGGAAGTAGATTGCCCCATCTTCCTTCCAGGGAGTGGCTGGTGGGTTTGAACCGCCAGCCTTCTGGTTAGCAGTCAAGTGCCTTAGCCACTATGCTACCAGAGCTCCCAAACAAGATATAAAATTTTAAAATGTTTAATGCAAATGTGAGAGCTTTATTTGAACCATATTTAACTATATTTTTTTTTACTCCTTTAAGTCTAAATTGGAGACATATTTCCATATCAGGCAAATAAAAATTTTACATGAAAATAATTATAAGGTGCATATTCCAGGAAAAGGACTAAGAACTTCCATTACCACTCATGCTAGCACTAAGAAATATGATTAAAAAGACAGAGATGCAGGTGACAGCATGGACAATTCTCCTTTCTTACATGCCTTGGCATTAGCTGTCAATGCTTTGAGAATGAGGAAGAAGAGTTCAAATGTACTTCCCTCAAGTGCAAGATGCTTGATCTTGTTTATGTAGTGCTATGAGGTTTATTTTCCTGATAGTTCATAGAGAATGTTTCAGGAATTACTAAGAACTCAAAACCAATTATTACCTTGTCTACCTCTCCTGTTCCCTCCACCCCCCAATATTCCATAGCCCAACTCAGATGTTAGAACTTTCAAGAAGCTTTCTTTGCTCACACTCTATCATCTTCCTGTGCCTTATTAAGAAATTTTTGATCAAATAATAGAAACTCACACATTGAATATGTGTTTGCCAAATAGGCATGCTGGAGGCAAATTTGTACAGTATAAAGACAACTAATAGGTAAGTCACTTAACATCAATAATCCAGTTTTTTTCTGCAAAAGCTGGGGACTTTCAATGAAATATTGCCAAACTCCATTCTAATTTATCCAATTAATCCAATGCAAGAATCTATATTTCACTTGAACTGCAAAATATTAAAAAATACGGCTTAAATATGAATTATGTATCATAAATTTCAATCTTGTGTTATCTTCAGGGAAAGAAGATAAAATAAACAACAATAAATAAATAACAATTAAACAATAAATAAAGATTAAGACACTTAATAAACTCCTTCATTAAATTTTCCTATTTGTGGCAACATAGTACAGATGCCACTGACCACCAATATCTTCTGGAAAAAAAAATAATATGGAAATTACAGGTCAGCCCTCACTTATGACAAGCTTTGTTCTGACAACTACATTATAAGTTGTTTTATGAAGTAAATCAAGTACTTTTTTTTTTCAGTTTTCATTATTATTGCCTTTTATTATCAGTATCTTAATAAACCTGACCTTCATTTGTCTTTAGTGGTTGGAAACATGTTATATATAAACTTACAGGTATGTATTAATACTGGAGCTCTGGTAGTGTAGTGCCTAAGGCATTTGACTGCTAACCAGAAGGCTGGCAGTTCAAACCCACCAGCCACTCACTCCTCGGAAGGAAGACTGGGCAATCTACTTCTGTAGAGATAACGCCTCGGAGACCCAAGGAGGGGTCACTATGAGTTGGAATAGACTTGATGGCAGTGAGTTTGTTTGTTTGTTTTTGATGTGTTAATACACATATTTTAAAAAAATATTTAAAAATACTCAAATCATAAAAATTTACTCTGATGATGAAAAAGAATTGAATGACATTGGCATTTTGTCAGTTGTGGTAATAATTCCACTTATGGAAGGTTCTCAGTCATCTAGGAATGAGAATAGCATTTCTAGTCAGAAAATTAGTGAGAGTGGTCTGCATGGTCTTTTATCTTTTTTTCTTCATGTATTGTGGTAACACTTCACGCTTACCAAATCTACCTGTTGACTTCAGCAAAGTGATAGGCATTTGAGTCCATGTTTTCAAGCCACTGAAACCCCTGACTTAGTTTAGAAAAACTCCAGCTAATCCTTTCACTGTAAACTTTTGGACAACTTTTCTTCTTCCTCATCCTCATATTTCTTTCCTCTGCAGCATTCTTTCCTCCTTAACATCCATTAAGTCCTCATCCATCAGTTCCCCCTCTTCTGGTCTATGAGCTATTCCACATTGCTAACACCAAGTTCTAAATTCAGCATTCTTACCTCATGGACAATTTTTTTCTATAATCCCTTTTATCATATTATCCTGATGAAATATTTGGAGTCTGTTTGCATAACTCAGAATTTTTTCCAAAATCTCCTGGATACATTTTCCAGTAACTTTCTTCCAGGAAGATGCAATGTTCCAGATACACTGAAGAGCACCATAATTTTTCCAGAAATTGCATAATGTTAGTGTGCTCCCATCTTCTGCAACTACTGTCTGAGCAAACACAGCCCATAGGTAGCATGCCTTGAAGATGGTGATAGTACATTGATCCATAGGCTGTATCACAGCTGTCCTGTAGGGAAACAGATGCATCATTTTCACATGGTGATCTAGATCATCTACGAGAGGAGGGTTTAGGAGCTCTGGTGGCCTAGTGGTCAAAGCATTGGACTGCTAAGCAAAAGGTCAGTGGTACAAACCCACCAACCACTTCACAGCAGACAGTCTGCTTCTGTAAAGATTACAGCCTTAGAAACTCTATGAGGCAGTTCTACTTTGTCCTGTTGAGTCAGAATTGACTAGATGGCAGTGGGTTTGGGATTTTTGGTTTTGGTTTTGGGGGGGGAATGTCCTGGGGCATTATCAAGTAGCAGCAGAATCTTCAAAGGAATGCTTTTTTCAGAGCAATAGGTGTGCACACCTGGAATGTCACAATTTAGAAAAACAATCTTCAAATAACACAGTCATCATCCATAATAACATCATAAATGTGATTCCTCATAATTCAGATATGTTGTAAGTCTAGGACTACCTGTATGAAGAACATTTCCAATTACAAACTATTATGGGCAGATGTAATACATCCTAAAGCAGTACTGTAAAGTGAATGTGATATGCAATTTGGTTTTTATATGAAAATAAATCTATAGTCTCCAATGACCAATTATTAAATATCCAAAATGCTTATTGTGGGGGGTGGTCATTGAGTCTAACAAATGCAAGAGAAAAAACTGCAATGATCCATATTTGCAGATAGAAATATGGATCTAAAAACTAAAAAGGATATAAGTATACACTTCATAGAAAAGGAAATACTACTGATGCATTTATGCATATATATATATATATATAAAGTGGCAAAACCTCAACCATAAAGAGAAATGCAAATTAAAATGATATTGAAATATCATTTGCAAATATTACATTGTCAAAGGTCAGAAATGCAAATTAAAATGATATTGAAATATCATTTGCAAATATTACATTGTCAAAGGTCAGAGTTAGGAGTGCTCTTAGATAATGGAGATTACTATAGTGTATGTTGTTGTTGTTCTTATATGCTGTCGAGTTGGACCCGACTCATAGTGATGCCTCCTTGGGTTTCTGAAGCAGTATCACTACAGAAGTAGATTGCCCAACCTTCCTTCCAAGGAGTGGCTGGTGGGTTTGAACCGCCAGCCTTCTGGTTAGCAATCAAGTGCCTTAGGCACTATGCTACCAGAGCTCCTACTACAGCATATATAGAGAGTAAATAGGAAATATCTAATACAATTTAAATGCCCATAATATTTTACCTAGTAACTTATCTTACAAAATATACCTGCACTTCTGTCAAGTTATGTATGTCCAAGATTTGTTATGACATCATTTGTTTTTGTAATACCAAAAGATTGGAAATTGCCTAAAAATCAAGAGGACTATTAAAATAAATCATGATATATCCATACAATGAAACCTGATGCCATTATAATGTACTGATATGGAACTATGCTAAAAATATATTTTTGAGTGATTAAATAAAGGTGCAAAACTATGTGAACAGATTGTTAACATTTATGTAAAAAGGAGGAGGGCATTTTGTAGTCATTTGCTTATAAAATGCAAAGTTTCTCTGGAAAGGAAGAAAATAAATGATAAACTTAGCTACTTTGGGGGAGTGGAATTGGGTGAATAAAGAGACAGAGATGGCTAAGAAGGTTTTTTGCTATTTTTATTTTGTACCTTATTTTTGAACAATGTGAATTTTAAACAGAAAAATCTAAAATAACGCAAATTCAAGTCATGAAAATAATCAGTAACTTGTAGTTGACTTTAGTCTATGTTGAAAGTTTATTTCAGTATTATATTGGGAATGGTTACTATTGTTTGAAGTGTTCCAGATGTCCACTATTGCAATGAAACAGCAAGAGAAACTCACCCAACAGGACAGAGCATTGTTAAACCTTACACAATGGAGAAGAAAGCATGACCTTCAGATGAAATGTTGCCAAATGTTTATGCAAAACTCTTTCAGTTCAGGTAATTGATGTTGAATTATTTTGAACTGCAGATCCAAATGTATGCACTAATTCTTCACAAGATACAGTGACATACACATTTTATTCTCTGCAAAGTTGTTAGAGTTTGGTAATAGGAAAGAAATAATTTTGATGCATTCTTCAACTTGATTCATATATCCTCCTGCATGTGGAAAACACTGAAGTTCCAAGAAATGCAGAGGAAGAAAATATACCAGAACATGTGCTAAGAAAAAAAAAACAACTCACTGCCATCCAGTCAGATCCGACTCATAGTGACCCCTCCTTGGGTTTCTGAGGCAGTATCACTGTGGAAGTAGATTGCTGAATCTTCCTTCCAAGGAGTGGCTGGTGGGTTTGAAACACCAGCCTTCTGGTTAGCAGTCAAATGCCCTAGGCATTACATCACCAGAGAACATGTGCCACCAAGTCCCAAAGTGGAATTTCTGTGAATTGAAAAAAAAAAAAAA